ATGAAGAGATTACAGCATATGCTGCTGACAAGGTTGTAGAAGGGGTGTCTGACAACAAGGACAAGTACACAAAGATGTCCCCTGTTATGGTTTATGTATGGATGTCCCCCCAAATCATCATGCAGTCAGAGTTTTTTGGGAGGTGGCTGAATCTAGAGTGTGTGATTGATTCATAGTACAATGCTGGGATTAAGGGTTCTGGGATTAAAGGTGGGTAATTGCTGGATCTGTCCACTGAATGGATTGGTACTACCCTAACCCTAGTATACTGGATACACTATAAGAGGCAGAAAGAGCTTTCTCTCTCTCTCTGTCTCTCTCTCTCTCTCTGTATCTTCTGCCTTGGAATAAACTAATTATGGACTGAAACTTCTACAAACAGTGCGCTAAATAAATCTTTTGCCCTTTAACTTTGGGTGTCAGGTATTTTGTCTCATCAACAAGAAAAGTAACTAAGACATAATTCACTACCAGAGAAGTGGGGTCATTGCTGTGATTATTCCTGACTGTGTGGTTCAGGAGCCTTTGGGAATGGTTTTGGGGAAGAGTTTGGAAAGGTCTGGAAATGGCTGGAAAAGTAGAGCTGGAATGCCTTAGGCTGTTCTGGCCAGAGTTCAGAAGACCAGAAAGCCAGTAAAGACCAGGCTTGGGAGGTTCCTGATGGGAACAGAAGCTGCACTGGTTGTTGGATTCCAGATGCTGTGTGTTATGGTTTGGCAGAACATTTGTCTGCATTTTGTTTGTATCCAGAGATTTTGCCTGAGCCTGAGACTAAGAGTGATGGGCTAGTTAATCTGACAGAAGAAATTTCAAGGCAGTTGAATGTTGAGGCAGTGGCATGGCCATTATTGGGGGCTTTTAGGCAGATTTATTTTGAGACTCAAGAGCAAAGAGACCAATAGAATGATTCAAAACATTGTGAGTTTGGTCAGAAATGAAGCTCCAGTAAAGCTGTGGACTACAAAGATGAAGCAGAGGAAATCTTGAGTGCTAAAAAGAGAATAAGAGAATAGAAGAGATAATCTGAGGGCATCCCAGGAAGCAGCAGGACTCCACCCCTTGCAGCCTCAAAATTAAAAAAGTGGAAGACTTTGCTTTGAGAAGAAAGTTTCAGAGTACTATGTTCCAGAATGTTGGCAGCATAGAGAATTTGTCCCTCAGGATTGGGTTCAGAGTGCCCAGCAACCCAGGTACTCAGTCCTTATGGCCAAGAAAGAGGGAAGCCTGGTTAACTACTCCAGTTGGCAGCAAATTTTGGCAGCATCCACATGATGCTAGCTTTACATGCATTCAGAGTGCAAGAGTTGTGGACTCAGAAGATTCCACCCAGATTTCAGAAGACTTGGGAGGCTAGGCAGTATATCCCTGAGACAGTAGTGTGTGAAGCTGTGTGAAACCAAAGGTAAATGGAGATCCTTGAATTTTGGAGAAGACTGGAATATGGATTGTCTGAGGAAAACCGCAAGGAGGGAGTAAAGCAGGCCTAAGAGAGAAGTCTTGGGAGCTATGACTATCAGAAGTGTCCTTGGAATGGAGTCACTCAAGCCCTGTGGAGTTTGCATCTTTCCACAGATTGCGTCAGATGCTGCACAAGGGACTACAGAGACTTAATATTTTCCCTGCTTGATTTCAGGCTTGCATTGGTACCATTGCTTTGTATCCCTCTAATTGTAACTTTTGGAATGGAAATGTCTATCTTGTGCCATTGAATGTTTAACTTTCTTTTTGTTTGTACAGAGATCACAGCTAAATATTAAATCTCAAAGGACACTTTGGACTTAGATTTTTCAGCAGTGCTGAAACTGTTAAGACTTTGGCAACTCTTAGAGGTGGACTAAATGTCTTTTGCATAAAAGGATTCTCATGGGTTTTTGTGGAGTCAGGGACCGAATGTTATGGATTGTAACTAGATGTCCCTCTAAAGCATCATGAGTCAGAGTTATTTGGGAGGTGGCTGATTCTAGAGTGTGTGACTGATTCATAGTGTAACACTGGAGTTAAGGGTTAGTGATTGCTGGATCAGCCCACTGATTGGATTGACTCCACCTTAATCTCTATAGATTTGACACAATATAAGGGACATAAAGAGACTCTCTCTCTCTCTCTCTCTCTCTTCTGTCTCTCTCTTTTTTATTTTGGTGCTTTCTGTACAGTGAATGGTTGCTCCTCTACCATGTGTCAACCTGCCTTGGAGCCAGCTAATTATGGACCAAAACCTCTACAAACTATGAGCTAAATAAATGTTTACCTCTTTAATTTTGGGTGCTGTTATTTTGTCCCAGCAATGAGGAAAGTAGCTAAGACAACCCTTGAATTTTGAAATGGGCACCTGAGAATGGTGGAGACATTATCTATGAAGGAGAAAGTCTTGGGAAAATGGGACTTTTTAAATTTCATAGCACATTAAGGTTGAAGGAATCCAGAATTTAATTCTTAACTATCATGGGTTTGACACGTCTCCATTTAGGAGAGTCAAATAAGAAACTGGAACTGTGGATATAAAGGGAGGAGATCCAGATAGAGACATTCCAGAGAGAGACATTCCAGATAGAGAATCTGATGCTCAAATAAGAAATAAGATCATCTATTGGGACAGGGTATGTGAATGAAGCAGACAGCAGAGACTCCTGAGGACCCATCCCCGAGAAGAGGTGAAGAAAAGATCATTTCTCAAATGTTTTATTAGAACCAAAAGTATGAGCTTCAATGAAATCATTCTGTAGGATACTGTAGTGGTGGACATAGGATGCTATACACTTGTCCAAATTCACCAGACATACACCGTTAATAGTGAATTCTACTGCTCATCATGGATGTTAGTTAACACTAATATATAAATGTGTGGCCATCAATTATTACAAATAAATCACAATGACCTAAGATTTTAATGGTATGGTGAATTCTGGGATGCAGATGTGGGAAGAGGGAGAACTCTTTGTACTTCCTGCTAAGCCAGTCTATCAAAACTTCTTTAAAAATAAACTCTACTAATTTATTTTAAAAAGAAGAAAGCATGGGCTTTAGGATTGAGCATAAGGAAAAAAAATTAAAAAGGTGTCAGAGGTCTTACTAGAAACAAAAAGAAGTCTTTAAACAACTAAATATATATGTACACATATTTTTAAGCAAAAAAATACCTTATCCGTATCAATCTAATTTGAGCATAGCATAGATCAAGTATGTAAGAAAAATCCTTAGCTTTCTATAATGGTTTTGTAACTTGCAAATTTTTCTTACAGTAAAAAATTTAGGAAGATGACAAACAACATTTTTGATCAATCATTAAAGATCAATATTTTTCTGTATCCAAATCAAAGCACATTTTCACAGTCCACACTTTTTGGATTCAATCATAGCTAAACTGTAACTTCTACTCAGGCCCTTGCAATCTTAGTGATGTTGGACAAAATCACTTAGATTTTTCAAACTCACTTTCAATTGCACATAAAGTGGGAGAAATTCTTACCTCTTCAGCTTGCCATGAAGACCACAGTGACTTAGCATTCCATAAACTGAATGCATCATGATGAATGCTGAGGATTTTATTAGGTCCTGGACATTGTGCTCTTGTCTCAAGTAATTATTATCAAGGTCCTGCAAAGTAAGCACTCATTGTTCAGATGAGAAAAGACTCATAAAGTTGACTTGCCCAAGATCACACAGATGATAAGCTCTTGGCACTGGGATGTGAAGCTCTGCCTATCCCACAATGCCCTCAAGTGCCGTTGTATCACATTATAGTTTTGATTTGAAGTGTTTGAAGGTGCACATGTTGCAAGCCCTAAGCCCACCTGATGACTCCATTGGAAGGTCACGGCAACTCCAGGAGATGGAGGCTAGTTGGATGAAGTACATTGATGGGCCTATGGTCTTGAAGGGTACATTGCACCCCAACCTTTCCCACCCCACCCCCGACTCTTCTTTCTGGCCATGAGATGAACACCTTTGCTCCAGCATGATATACTGCCTTGCCATGGACCCAAAGCAATGGATCCAGTTGACCATGCATAATACCCTTCAAACCGGACGGGGGCTAGGGATTTAGCTCAGCGGCATAAGCACCTGCCTTGCAAGCAGGCGGTCGTGAGTTCGATGCTCGGTACCGATAAAAATGAAAAAAGACAAAAAAAACCAGAGCCAAAATGAATCTTTCCTAGTTTACTCACAAAGGAAGGAAAAAGGGAAGGCAAAGCAAAGAAAAGAAAGGGATAAAATGAGCTTAGGCCTTCAGACTTTTCAAATCTTCAACTATTGCTTTCCACCTGCACCTGGCCACCCAGATCCCCAAGTGGGATGTCTAGGAGCATTCACCTGTGTCTAACTCTCTCCTGATTGCACCTGTAGGAAAATGTATTGTTTATGATGCAAAAGATCCAGTCCTAGCACTTGTTAGTAAAGCTGCTCATTAAGCTAAGAATAATTACATGGAACCTTTCATTGTATTCTTGTTATTTATATAATTCACTTGGAAATGTGATTTGACATGTTTGGAGCAGCTTCAAGGAAAAAAACCAGATGGTGTGGACTTGAAAAAGTCTATTGTTGACACATTACATTGATTTGTGTGGAAGTAATTCATGTTTTTAATTTTCTTTCCACTCTAATGTATTCTCTAAGAATGCAATTCTTGTTGCATTCACAAAGCCCTAATAGAGGGAGGCCTTATAGTTTAATAAGCATACCCTTCAGCCATCTCCATAAATCCCACTATGCAAGCCATCCCCAAGCTCTACTTGAGCTGAGCGGACACAGGAGAATGTATACGCTCAGTTTAAATGCTTGGTGCTGTGGCATCTCACCCACTTATACGTGACTATGTGTGTGTGTTCAGTAACTTTCCTAGCATTCTTTGGGTTTTGGAGGCAGTGCTTGGAAAACTAAATTTGAATCCATTTTCCAGACCATTTAATAAACTTCAGAGCTCCAAATCAAACACTTAAGTGTTGGATCTTCACAGAGATCCCAACCTTCCCAGACTTAAAAGACAGCAGGCAGAACTCTTAGTTAACGCTGATACATTCCAAAACAGCAAATGGACTAAGAAGCGCAGGAGAAACACAAACAACAGGAAAAGCCCAACGCGAGGCACAGGAAGAAGGAGCCACCTCATTCCAGGGTTTCGTCAGTGGGATCCCAGCCAGCCTTCCAGCTCACTTTTATAAAGCTCCCCTGGGCAGCCCGTGCGGCCCTGTCCTCTGCGTGTTCCACAGCTGCTTCTGTGGGGCTGGCCCTGCTGGCTCACCCACCTGACAGTCATGGCAAAGAATGGACTTGTAATTTGCATCCTGGTCATCTCTTTGCTCCTAGACCAGACCACCAGCCTCCGATCCAAATTGAAAACTAGGAAACACAGCAAACGCCGTGTGAAAGGTAAGGGGACTTTTCAGTGCAGCGCAGCTCCGGGCTCCCTCGGTGTGGGTGGGAGGTGAATTCCTGTCCTCCTGAGTGACAGTAGCAGGCCATCATGTGCATATAGCTTTCTGGGGGTGGAGTGACCTTTTGACTCTCTGAGACGGCCTGGTATTTAAAGGAATGATGTGGTGGTGGACTTTGTTAGTGGAAAAAGAAAATAGTTTTATACCATAAAACGTTTCTGTATTGTGTTGTTTTTGGTCAGATTGGCTTAGATAAATGGAAGCTCACCCCATGACTTCATTTAGATGTGTGAACATCAAATTTTATGAATGACAGGGCAAGAGGAACATGCTAACTAGCAAAGTATACTCATTCATAAGTATCAAGTGATTCCATTCAAACGTATAGTAAGACAGCTCTAACCTTATCATGCAGCAAAGGACAGAGCCACTGATAATGGTGACTTCTTTTGTTTCACTGGTTATCATTTGGGTGTATTTTCATATCCCTGGAAGTGTTAAGACATTCTATACCATATATTTAAATTATTCATGTGATACAGAATTAAATTGAACCACTTTTTAAGAATATATGATCATGCAAGGCCAGTTAGTCCTTTAGACATTTTGAGGTGAAATTGACTCTCCAAGAAATTATAAACTTGGGCTAAGAATTTTTTTAAGTTTCAAAGAATGGGGTTGAGGGTAATGTGTTTGCAATATGCTGCAGCTGAAGCACTAAGACACAGTGTGACATTTTATTTCATCCTCTGAGTCTTTTTCCTATGAAAACATTTCAAGACAAACAGCATAGCACTCTTTCCTCATCAATTTCACTCCAGAGAAACAAATCCTGCCAAGAATACCAGCAAGGTTACAGCCCAGGACGTCACAGACAGCTGGTGGGCTCAAAGGGAGTTTGTCTTGTGTTTTGTTTTGAGGATTATAAAGGTCCCTTTACCAGGGGCACTGAATTATAAAATTTGGGTCTGATACAAGGCTTCCTAAGTGGAGTCTTTTCCTTATAAAATATTTGACTTTCTTATTCCCTCTTTTAATGAACAATTAAAATATTTTCATGAGAAGGTAAAGCACATTGCTGAAAGGAAGATGAAAGAAGAAAAAAGAAAGAACACGCTGGGTGATGTGGCTTATTTTTCTTGCCAGCATTTCACTGCCAAGAAGGAGTGGCAAACTGGTGACCACTCAGGAAGGAGGGACGTGGGCGAGGACAGCAATGTGTAAACGCACTCTCTCCCTGCCCCTGCTTCTCTCTGTCTCTGTCTCTGTCTCTGTCTCTCTTGTCAATCTCTGCTGCCACAGCCCAGGTGCTTTTTTAAAAACCCATTGGATACACAGATTAAGTATCACCTCTCAAAACTATCTCTGCCATTAAATCCAAGAAAGTAGACGCTATAGGAGGCAGAGTAATGCCTATATTTTCTACACTGCCTTTTCCCAATCTACACACATTTATAATATTTAAGTACCTTGAAATAATATCAAAGTATATAAAATCAAAAATGCCCACCTTGATTCCACTCCCAATCCTTGTCACAGTTTTATTTACTGTTCACTGTTAGGTGATAAGACTGGCTACGTAAAATGTTCAACAGGCAAATGAATTTATATCATTTATTGAATCTTGGGCAGCTATCAATGTAAGATATACCTCGTTCCTTGCAACAGCTGGATGCTATTCCACTGTTTAGGTTGTGACTTAATCTGCTCACTGTTGGCAATTTTTTTGTGTGCTTTCCAAAACATCTCTTTCTGCTGCAATATCGCCAAGGAATTGCTTTTTACACGTGTATTGATGCCCACGCTAAGATGTTATAGTACGTTTTTAGAAGTAAAATTGTGAGATAATCAGACTTTTCAATTATTTTCAAATAGTAACATCTGTCCAGGTCCCATGTCCATTGTAAAAGTGACCATTCCCACTCACATGGCCACCCAACATCATGTGATGGTTCTAGTGATCATTTTCTTCTACCAAACTCATTTGCATTTCTACAGTGCATCTAATCCCGGATAACAACAATCATAAAGTAAAAGGGAACCTTTTAAGAGGCTCAAAATAGCAATTGAATGAGTTACCTCCATACACGAAATTTCCCTGGCACTTTACTTCATCGGTCTCCACAAATTATGTATGATGTTAATGAATAAAATATAATTTCCACTGTGCAATAGCCATTCCATCTATTCCCTTTGTTCAGCCACATTAACAACAAAGGACAGAAGCAGGAAGCCAAGCTACCTGGATATAATGACTTCCATAATGATCTCCCAGGAGCCTACTAGTAATTCATGTGTCTTCTTGCTAATTGCAGTGTTTACAGTCTCCCAGTGGAGGCTGCCTATTTAAATAGATAGGAGCAAAAAGCCAAGCTGGATGGGGATGATATTTGTCCAAATGAAACTTAAAAACTTGCAAGTAAGACTTCAGCAGCTTTTGCAAGCCTGGCCCCAACAGCTGATGGTTCTGCATTCTAAATGCATCCTTCTATTTATTCCTGTTCTAATGGCCCAGTAAGGAAATCTTTGAGTTCTTGTATTTTTGAGCTGATCCACTGGATGCTCTAAGAACTGATGTATAGCACTGAGTGAAACAGATGTAGAGCCACCCTGGGTAGCTCAGAAGGCAGTTTCCTATTCTGAATATAAAAATGCCCTGTTTGTGAAGCAAGTATTCTACAGGGACAATGGATTAGCACATTCAGATTTGAGACTTTTAAAAAATCTTGGACAAAAATAAGAATTTCTATATGGTATTATAACAAAGGAAGCTGGGGATAGTTTATGTCAAGCTTTAAGCCTCTGCTCTATGTAAGCCACCTGCTGGGACCAAGGAAGTAGAGCCAGTCACTGTGCAGAAACAGAAAGCAGAAGAGGAAAGAGAACAATCTCAGAAAATTCACATCCAGCTCTGCCCCTGTCTAGCTGGGCAGCCATTGGCAGGCTAGCTCAGTTTTGGGTGCCTCTATGTCTACTTCTGTAGAGCTAGGGATAGTATCTATCTCATAAGTAGTGAAAGAATTAACCTCCTGGCAGAAAGTGTATGGTGGCTTTTAATGTTTCTTATGGTTATTACTTATTATGATTTGTCTTAATTCCTGCTTCCAAAGAGCTCATAAGATACTAATCTTTTGAGAGTTCCCATCAGCTCTGGAAATTTGATTAGGCCAAGGTTGTTCATTTTCTGACAGTCAGTGAGCCTATGGGCAGAATAGGGCTGGAGAGAGAGACAGGGCTCCATCTCACAGACGGAACTCCCAGCACTAAGGTTCCCATAAAGTCCTCATGAATCTTCTTACCTAAGTAATTTCATGTGTTATTTTTCATGTACATTTGGCTTGGTCTCATCAGAATCACTCTAGCTAGCCTTGGATGCTACAACCCAACTCTTTATTTTTAAACTTAGTTTTATTTTAATCATTTGCTTTCCATCCCATCTACCCCCTCCACTCTTGAACAACCCCCAGAGAAAGATGGAGATCTGAAGTCGCAGGTTGAAAAGCTGTGGAGAGAAGTCAACGCACTGAAGGAGATACAAGCACTGCAGACAGGTGAGACACTCCACACCCATCAACACCTCCTCCTGGAGGACATTACCAATGATTTAAATGAGTCTAATCTACATGTTGAGTTGTGGGTGATACCTTTTTAAGAGAATTTTTTTGTGTGTGCTGGGAATTGAGCTCAGGACCTGGTGCTTCCGAGGCAGGTACTTACACCACTGAATTGTATTTCTGGCCCTAAGAGAAATACTAACAAATCAGAGATGTGTCCATATTAAAGGACCCCAAAGCTGGAAGATTGGAATTTGTTGGGAAGTCATCTTGACTTGTCATCTTCGATAGATGGTATGGAAATAAAAAGAGACATTTTCAAGAATGCATTTTTAGGGGCTGGGGATTTAGCTCAGCGGTATAGGTATAAGTGCCTGCCTTGCAAGCAGGCAGTCATGAATTTGATCCCTGGTACTGATAAAAAAAAAAGAATGCATTTTTAAAGTCAATGGATAGCTATTCCCTAATAAGTAGACAAACAGAGTAAAAGACATACATTAAAGGCTAAAAGGAAATATTTTTTGTTAACTAAGTGACATTTAGAGATCTACAGAGATTCAACTGAGACAGGGTCACAGGATTCTCCCAGGCCACACTTGACTGGCTCAAAGCATACAGAAAGACATGGGTTTGTACTGCCTCAAAGTAGGGTTCCATCCAGTATCCTTTGCTATGGGAAAAGAAAGTTCTCCCAGTAGCTGAGAACACTACTGTCCATGAGAATTATCCAAGGGGTGACCAAATGAGAGTACACTAGGGAAGTTCCAAAACAGCCCTCGCCTCTGACCCCAGGAACCAACCCATAAACTAGAGTCCAAGGGCCCCCACAGGAAAGCCACTCTAATACAAGTTAACACTTTTAAAGAAGGGTGAGGTTACAGCTTTCCAGCAGGTATTTATAATTCAGATGGATGTTACCAACCCTGGGTCATTTTTACCATATGCAATGCCACCTAGTAACACGGGTGCCATAATTTCTTTTTCAGGTTTCCAGGGGTACAGAACTAGAAACTTTCAGTAAGGTCAAATATTCATGCCAAAAGAGAAATAATTTTGTTAACCTTTGTCCATATGTTGACACTATAAATACTTCATAAGCATTAACCCTCCAACAACTAATATGGACTCCTGCAATAATTTATGCTATTGTGATTATCTGCATTTCACAGATGAGATAAGATGTATAAGGTTTACACAACGGTTAGATGTCAGGGAGGAGCCTTAAACCCAGCACTGGAGCCTGACTTTCCAGTGCTTTGCCCTGAAACTATTTTTGTTTGTTTTACCCTGTTTAACCTAAACATTATTACCAGGTCTCAGCTATCTGCTAAGGACTGCTGTAGCCTCTCCACATACAAATTCAGATTTTTGCTATCTTGTTGTTTTTAAATAATTATGAAAGTCCATCTGATTCCAAAATTCCCAAGGAAGCTGAGCACATAGCAGAGCTATATAAGCTAGAAGTGTATATCCGAGCAGCCCATGGGTTTAAAGATCATGTTTCAAGGGCGGAACAGACTTGGGTCTATGTAAATGTGAAGTTACACACTATGTAGGCTACTGTTTGGACCTGCCAAGTTGTTACGACTAACACTTTCTTGAAGCCGCAATATTTTGACAAATAGCAATAAATAAAAGTATCACCACATGACGTCATGATTATTATATGTTCACTTAGGTCTGGTGTGTACAAAATAATTAACAAATGGTAGCTCACTATTAACATCACACATCATTCATCCCACAAATCTTTCTCATTATTGTCCAGGTCTAGTAATAGGCATATTACATTCAAAGGACATCTTAATATATCCCATTTCACACCTCCACAGTCTGTCTCCGAGGCACGAAATTTCACAAGAAATGCTACCTTGCTTCAGAAGACCTGAAGCATTTCCACGAAGCCAATGAAGACTGTATTTCCAAGGGAGGGACCCTCGTGGTTCCCAGGGACTCCGATGAAATCAATGCCCTCCGAGACTATGGTAAGAGGAGCCTGCCAGGCGTCAATGACTTTTGGCTGGGCATCAATGATATGGCCACGGAAGGCAAGTTTCTTGATGTCAATGGAATGGCGGTCTCCTTCCTGAACTGGGACCGTGCACAGCCCAATGGTGGCAAGAAGGAAAACTGTGTCCTGTTCTCCCAGTCAGCTCAGGGGAAGTGGAGTGATGAAGTCTGCCGTAGTAGCAAGAGGTACATATGTGAGTTTACCATCCCCTAATGGCCCTCCCCAAATGTGTCTTCCAAGCACAATCAGTCATGATTTATAGGCTGGTGGTCACCAAGGATAAATCAAAACTGTCACTATTAATTAATTACAACACAAGTATCATTGCCCATGGCCATATAACAATTGGATAATTTGTCCCAATGCTCCATTGTGATTTTGCCCTTTGGGCACAACAGATCAGAAAATAAGAATCTAGCCATCAGCCATGGTACACTGTTAAAGTGACTTCTGCAAACAGAGTTAACAAATTATTTTTCTCTTTTCTTGTCCTACTCACTTGTAGAGACCTAGTCTGTATTAAAAAAAATACAACACCTTATATATTTTTTCAATCAAGAAAAGCAAGTTTAAGCGGCCTGGAAGATTTTTCTCTGGAAAGTTTAAGGTAGTCAGCGACAGCAATGCATTCTGAGACATGTGTCATTAGAGAATTTTGCTGTTGTTCATTAGTTGGTTCTGTTACTATATAAACATCCTTGTGTATTCTTATCAAACCTAGCTGGTCTGGGTAAATCACTTGACATGGACTTGATGCAGTCAAGAGACACAGTCAACACAAGATGTAGAAGGCATCTGCTGTGACATGGTAGACTGCATGGCAGTATATTTTTATACCTAGGAGTGTGCTTTAAAGCACAAGTATACTATAGTGTGTTAATCAGCTTTCTGTCACTAAAATAAAATACCTGACACAGGCTACCACGGAGAGGTTGATTCAGCTCACAGGTTTGGTGGCTTAAAGATCAAGATTGGGGAGCCCCATTGGCTTGTTCTCTGGTGAGGGTGACAGATTGCAGGACATCATAGTTGCAGCACATGTAAAAGCAAATTTCAAACCAGAGCAGAGCTAGGGAGAGAGAGAGAGAGAGAGAGAGAGAGGGAGAGAAGAGACAGGGAGAGAGGGAAAGAGGGACAGAGGGAGACAGAGGGAAGGAGAGAACGAGAAACAGGATCCCACAGTCCTCTTCAGCAGCAGGACCCCAATCATCTAAGGACCTCCTATATGACATTACTTCTTAGAGGTCCACAGCACCTCCCAAAACTCAAACCTACTACCCTGCAGATATTTGGGGGACATAATTAAGCCACCTCAAATCATTGCATGTAGTAAATACATAAGCCAGCAATGTAATCATTTACCATTATCAAGCATAAGGTACTACCCTGTGTTGTTTTTATACAACTGACAGGAGAGTAGGTTTGTTTCACAGTGCCACCAAGAATACATGAATAGCAAGGTTACATTCATGTGCTTTGTGCTGAGGACCGCTCCATCGCTAGGCAATAGAAATTTTTCAGTTCCATTATAATGCTACGGGACCACCATCACATCAGCAGCCTGTCACTGATTGGAATGTGGTCATGCAGTGCATGACTGTATATATTGGATTGATGGGAATTCCCTAAGTCGAGATTCTAGGTGCTACACAATCCAAAAGCTTTCAGCCTGATACTCCAGTTACACTATCTCTTTGGCCTACCTTGCTGGTCCAACATTCTTGAGTTGTTCCCTTCTCTAGCAGGGCTTGTATCTTGCCTGCCACATCAGGGCAAGGCTGTCTGAAGCAGTTCTGCTTTACTTCTGCATTGTTCAAACTCCCCAAGTACAGCTGTCTTTGGAAGTTAGGGAAGGATCCAAAAAGACACGACGAGGGAGCTGATCAGTTTGCACTCTCAACATTTGCTTACAACTTCTAATTTAAATGAGTAATTCTAAGGCAGAAAAAGAGCCCAGATTATACACTGAAATTGGGGAGGGGGGGAAGGTTACTTTTCCCTTGCTTTTTCATCCTTACTGTCTTCCTTTAAATGTGGTAGGTTTTGTTTTACTTTCTGTATATCCTTATGTATGTTTCAAATATGATCATATATTTATAAGTCTATTAAGCACAACCTATCTTTGAAGTGGAATGCTGGATTTAACTAATACTATTTTACAGCCCCATGTCTTTGCCATGTGTTGTTCTGTCAAATACAGTTTAGATTAAAATGCTTAATGAGACTGTACAAAATAACTTCATTGCTTGAGATGGAATTGCAAACGTTAGGCTTGAGGGAAATGGGCTTTTAGAACCAAAGAATTCTACATCATTCTTGCCTCTCAAATAAACATCTTTTTTCATTCCATGTTGAATGTGTTTTGTGTGCTCTGCAGACTTTAACGACAAATACTTAGAATTAAGTTTTAGTGCTTTTCATGGCACAGTAATAAAGTGTGAATTTTGACTGATGTGAATGTGTTTGGGTGTTGGTTAGAGTTATTCAACCTATGTTGACTTGTATCACATTTGGAAGAAAATATACCCTGGATTTGATCAAAGTGGTGATACAGATGAGATGTATGTGGAAAACAATTTCACCTGGCAATAAAGACATGCAGTCTGGAAGGTGGGGTCACTTTGAAAGTCTGGAGCTTCAGTTGTATTTGGTTCATCCTGGCCAGCTCCAAAATAACCGTGGTCTTCTTGCTGTTAATGACTCTGATGAATGAATAGCTGGGTTGAGCACATCCCAAGCACCCTGCTACCGTTGATGTAATTCTCATTTATCTTCTTCAGAACAACCCTAAGAAAGAGAACCTAGACCTTTTCCTTATTAGGGAGAGAAAAAAAAATGAGAAAGAGTGACATGGTTAATTGTCCTAATTCACAAGCCAGCCAGAAAACAGACTATGTGACCTCAGCAACCACAGGGGGCTGTGACATGGCATGGGGTTATGATTTACATCTAGGTATCTTCCAAAAGCCTCATGAGATCACAAGGATTGGGTCATGGGAGGGCTACACTCACCAGGTCACTCACTGATGGGTGAAGATTAACCCACAGATGAGTTTACAACTCAGTGTGCTGGTCTGAAAGAGGTGGGTCACTTGGGTTGTGACCTGGAAGGATACATCTTTCTCCCCAGCTTCTCCCTTAACCCTCTGCTTCCTGGACACCATGAGGTGAGCAGTTGTTCCCCTGCTGTGCCATCCTGCCTTAGAGCCACCCAACTGTGTACTGAAACCATGAGCCAAAATAACCCTTTTCTCCTGTAAATTGTGGGGGTCAGACATTGTGTGTCAGAGACAAAGAAAGTGACTTAGGCACAGACCTGTTCCAGCAGGCAGCAGGGGCAGGTTTTCATCTGGTCCCCAATGCTCCCATCAAGGGAGGGCACAATTTGGGCAAAAAGCATATATCAAAAGGGCATCCACTCCAAGAGTACGTCACAAAGACATGTGTGTTTGTCTCCCTCCATTTTCCAAGGGCCGAACAAGGACAACCAAGGGTCACTACTGGTGTCTTAGCATGGGTCCCTAAAGATGGGATTAGATAAAAAACCATCTCTAAAATAGTTCAATAACAAAGAGCAAAAAGTTAAACCAAAGGAACTGATGAGCCGGTGTACGTGATCAAGAGGAAGATGAGCACCTCCTTCCCAGCCTCTGGCTGCAGAGTTCATGATGAATGAGAACTTGGCGCTCTCTATGAGAAATGGAGACCACAGAAGTTGTTGGTGAGGCTTCAGAGCGGGTCTGAATTGGTGTTGGCAGTGACAGACAGTGTCTCCCTGTGAGGCGGGAGATCTTGACCAGGTGCACCTGCCCCAAGGTAAAGGGCACTGCTGTTACAGACTGAGGAGAACTGGGGGAGACAGCACCGATCTTCTGGGATAGATGCCAACACGAGCAGTCTCCACTTGGCTATTTGAAAACAGGAGAGAAGGAGACTCCTGGACCTGTGCACACTACTGTACCTTCGCACTGGGTCTAACAGAGCCAGGCACGGTGATGCACATCTATAATTTCAGCATGTTCAGATGCTGAGGCAGGAGGATAACAAATTGGAACCCAACTTGGGCAATTTAGTCTCAAAAATAAACAAAAGGCTGATGATAAAGCCCAGTGAAGACCCTGAATTCTATCCTAGAAAGGATGGAAGGAAGGAGAAGGAAGGGAAAGAAAAGAGTTGGCAGAATCCACAAACTTTGTAATGTCTCTGAAGAAGATGCTGTCCTCCAATATGTGGTCTAAAAGCCCTTAAATAAGGAAGGTAAAAAATCTAGGATTAAAGCTTTGGAAAATCATCTCCTTGTCACTCACCATGTCCTATAATGTCCTGTAATGCTTGTGTATCGGTCTGAAGAAACAGCATCCTAAGAAAATCAGGAAGAAAGTTGGGCATGGTGGCACATATCTACAATCCCAGCACTCAGGAGGCCGAGGCAGGAGGATTGCCTTGAATTTGAGGCCAGTCTGGGCTACACAGCGAGTTCAAGGCCAGCCAGAACTATACAGTGATATCGTGTCTCAAAACAGAAAGAAAAGAGAAGGCTGAACAACATGCTAAACTTCTGACCAAGGAAAAGAAGGGGTGAAATAAAAACAAAGACAGATTGTCACGAAACATCGCCTATCCTCCTTAACCACCACAGTGTTACTCTGTCATAAAGAAAGACAAGCAAGCCACAGTAGGACATGGATGCTCCTTGAGGCCATCGTGTTTGGTGAAGTAAATCAGACACACAAGTTTAAATTAACACAGTTTCTCTGACATGAGAATCCAAACTCTGAATGAAGAGCAAGACGCCAGATAGATAATGGGAGCAGGGAGATAAGTGTTTCTCAGATGGGAAAGGGGATAAAGGGATGGAGGGAGGGGAAGGGGAAGGGAGGGGAATGGGATTAAAAAAAGGAATCCAAACCTGTCAGGAACGTGCACCAACTCCACACAAGGAATGTAAACAGTGTGTACTGAAAACATGGACTAATACAGATAAAAAAAGTTTTGAAATAAGAAGTTTGTAAGAGTGATAAGCCAAGTATGTGGCAGAGGCCTGTAACCCCAGCACTCAGGAGGCTGAAGTGGAGGCAGGAGGATCACTGCCCCAAGTTCAAGGCCAACCTGGGCTACAAAAAAAAAAAAAAAAAAAAAAGCAACAAATAAATAGGATCAGATCTTAAAAGAAGCACATGAAAGTAAGGGCAGTCAAAATTAGTTAGCAAGACAAAGGGCAGATTATAGGAAGAAGAACAAGATTGAGAGAGGTGGGTTAAGAGATCCCCTGGTTTGCCCTGAGTCAAACTCATGACTGTCTTTCTTACTTAGTCAACAAATAGCCAAAGTCCACACTTTTACTGACTGGGCACTATCTAGCAGACAGCAAGCTCCCTCGGGCAGAAATCAGAAATTGGTTTCAACTATCAGGCCAACCCTTAAACCTTCATGAAAGTTCCCCGGCACTATGGGGAGCTGAGACATGAGGATTGCAATTTGCAATCCTGCTTCAAAATAAAAACTAAAGGCTGCTGCTGTGCTTTTTCAGTGCACACCTTAAAGCAGCAGCTAAGGAGGTCCGGTGTTCCCTGTGGCCAACAAAAAGGCCAAGGAAGGACTCAAGACTAAGAAAAACAAATTGATGCCAAGGTGGTGTGGCATGACGGCTCTGTGGTGTGACTGAAGATTAAGATGCATTCACCACTTAGCAAACTAATGAAATCTACTGTGAATGACAGGGCTGTCGATGAGACAGGTCACACTGCGATTTGATGGACAGCTCATGAACCAGACTCACCTACACAGTTGGAACCAGAGGGCAAAGATATAATGGATGTGGTTCCAGCAACAGAGAGCAGTTGTCTACAACAACTTCACCCCAGAGCTCCGTTCTTACAGACCAAAGATCATTCTCAATTAGAAAATGGCAATGTGGCCCCACCTTATCCCAACTGCCACAGCATAGCTTCCTCACATGGTTCATTGTACATAAAGCATCTGGCTGATGTGCGCAAGCAGGTTGCTTTTTTTTACGCCTAACCCTCAGCAAAATGTTTTGATAGACAATGAAAGGAGATGGGATGGGGGAAATACTGATTTTGTGAAAATCATTCCCTTTATCCATTTGTTCCAATAAGTCATTTTGCTCTCACGGCTCATTGCTCTAACAAAAAAGACAACAACATAAAAATCCTTGTGGCTGGGGTGTGGTGGTCCACACCTGTAATCCCAGCACTCAGGTGGATGAGGCAGGAGGATCATGCCAGGTTTGAGGCCAGCGTGGACTACATAGTGAGTTCATAGGGAGGCCATCCTGAACTGCATAGTGAGACTGTCTTAAGACAACAACAAAACCCACTTTCAAATTGTACCCACTAAGGCTGTATTTGATCTAATGAAAGAAAATCAAAGGGTATCTATCTCCTGGCTACAAAGCACTGTGCTAGGTAATATAGAAAGACAGAAAAGTAAATATTACAATGGAGGAGAGGAATGATACTACCAATTGGGGTCTACAAAGAAAAAATTAGTTGCTCGATTGAACATTGTGGAATTGCAGACTATCATTAGCTAGTTTTCCCTACACTGACACTTACCAATAGTTTAAATAGTTTAAATAGTGGCTAATAGTTTAAATCAATTCCTGCAAAGAAACTGCAAATTGAATACACATGAGTTAAAAACATGTGCTCACCTGTGAATAGGGACAGCTGACACTTCCTGTCCTGGTGTGATTGGCTCTGGGCAGCATCCTGAGCCCAGGCAGAGCCAATCACAATCTTCTCTGGTGGTTGCCCTCTGAAACTGGGGCCAATGAAGCACTTTCTCCTGGAGGTGCTAAATTGTAGCTGGTGAACTTTAGGCTTCTGGCAGGACCCTTTCCAAATGAATGCAGCGCACACAATGAAGCAGAAAGATAAGCAGTGGTAAGAAATGAGAGGACAAAGAAAGAATGGGGATGTTGGCAGGGAAGAGAAAGAACGTGTGCGGGCGCATGCATGTGTGTATTCATCTGCGTATAATTTTTTATTCAAATCCCCCAAAGCCCTGACTTCTATTTCTGTAAATTTTGTGAGCTTCCCCATAATTCCAACAAGCTACTGCCTGACAAGCTGTCCTCTTTGAGCCACTCTGAGCTGGTATACCAACCAGGATAGGCTGGATTGTCACGCAGCAACAATCCCTCACCCCAGATGGCATGGAACACCAAAGGCCCGTTTCTCCTTGTCTTCACATTCAGCATGCGTTGAAAGTGGGCTGTGTGCGCGCCATACTCTGGAGCTGACAGAGAATAACCACATAAAGTGCTGTCCGGCTTCCCAGTAGAGGAAGACTCAGGACAGCAGCTGGGTGACCTGACGCATATC